TTCACGTAAAGGCATGATTATGAACTCGAGGGAATTTTTCACCCTGGTAATTGCCAGTCAGATTAGTTTTGTGCTCGAGTGGCTTCGTTCTTCGTGGAGAATGAACCCGTTTTTGTAAGCCTGATGGTCGGCCAGCAGCATCTGCTAAAAGTGGCCAAGTTCTGAGTCTCCGGAGAGTGGAACTTGCGCAAGATTACACTTTACCCCTCTCACATTAAATCATGCGTAGCCTATCATAATGTTGTCAGGACGTTTGTGGAGGGTGATCCCAGTTTGCCACTGGCCTGATGTGGAGGTAATACCCATGTTTTGTCTTCTGTTCTTTTGTGTATTTGTATTCATGTCAATCTTGGCCAAGTATCCTTTGAAAATTCCTGCTCCTGGGAATTTGAAAAAATGTCTTCGTAACTCAACAAATTCCTTCAGCAAAATCAACACCAAAGGGCTGAAATGAGGCAGATGGTCATTTTCAAATCAATTTTAGTTGCAAAACCCCATTTTATTTGTATGATACATTAGTCTTACAGAGGATAGTTTCAGAGAGACAGTTGTGAGAGTAGGGCAGCAGAACAGGTGTTTCAGCAAGCAAGATACCCTTTCTCATCAACTGTATTTACAGTGTGCAGCTAAAAGGTTGTTATTTTGTAGTCACTTATGTCAGATGTGTGTGTGTGTGGTGCATGTGCGCCGATTCATTAATGCATGTGTATTGCCTAATTTAATTGGTGGTAAATTATGTTTTAAAAAAAAAAATCCCTCAGCAATGAAGCCACATATCCATCTACACCAGTGGAATAACTTGTTTCATAACCTGCATTAAAGTAAATGATACCCACCCCTTTGGTACTTTCCTCTGAGCCACCATTGCATGCTGCTTTCTGTGTGAGGGATGTTTTGTGTTTGCTTTTATTTATGTATCCTGTTGGACAGAACAAGAGAAATCTGTCAACAGAAAACAAACACATCAGAACTTCTCAGCAAAAGGCAATCCAGTCAGCGGAATTAATACCTAGCTTGAAGAAAGAAGACAGAAAATACTTTCTCTTGTTGGGTAGGTAAAATTAGAAGGACATTTTAATATGAATTTTTTGATATGAAAGCGAATCCTCCCCATGCCGACGCTTTAAATGATTAGCTCTTTTGTGAATAATTTAGATGTTGAGTGACATCAGGGCATTATCTTTGGATAGAGCAACTTTTTGGCCTAAAAAGTTCTGACTGGTATCCAGCCCCATTTTTTCATCAACTGGAGGAGAAGTGCAGGCCGTTTGGTTTCAAAGCTTAAACATGCAGCCTCCAGTCTATGACCTCCAGATTGTCTCAAAATGTAAAGCCAATCTGTGTACACCAGGGATTTAAAACTGAAGTGCAAGAGGTACCGTGGCATTTTTGTGGTTTTCATTTAATTACCATCTACCTTAGGCCTCGCCGGTTGGGCGTGTTGACTGTTAAACAAATCAATGGCTGAAATTGAGCATTCAAACTGTTGACACACTCTGAAACAACCCAGGCAAGAAACTTTGGCCAGTTCAGAACTTTTGAAAATTTTACAATTCCAAGTGGCCCTAGATTGGAGAGAAATGTTACTTGGAGGCAGTTATTGTACCACTGCATTTGTTCACCAAAGAATGCACCAGGCCCTTTTAGACTGGAGGCTATCACTAGTGAGATATTTCTATCCTCCATTCCCTGTCTATGAAAAAATTTTGCAGGACTGATGCAACCTGCAATTCAGCATCATTTTACTTCCTTCAAAACCTATTAGATCTCTCATGTTGCTTTAGGAAAAAATATGATTGGTTTAAAATATACAGCTTTAATGTTTTTGGTAACAAGTTCTGACATTAAGCAGAAAGAAATGTAGCCTCCCCTTTAATTGTAGTCTCATGATTTCAAAATATGAAATAAAATTACAATATTTTCTAGCAAATTCTTTGTGTACTGCTGAAAACTGACAAAAAGGATAGCACAGTCTGCAATACAGTTCCCTTGCAAATTCTGCAGCTTATAATATCTCTTTTCATTTTTTTGGATTTTTTTTTCTGTTGTGATCAGTTCCATGCATTAGATCAACAGGCAGCTTTCCCAGTCTATTTATAAGATTTATGAATGTGCCCCCATAAAGACTGTTAAATACCATTGGCTATGTAGCAGAGATTTACAAGCCCGTATAAAAACCCAGCAATAACACCAGGACTAAATATGGCCCAGTGGAATATTTCCTGCATTTGCTATACGAATATACTTTAGAAGGAAAACACTATTTTCACAGTTTATTTATGTTGTTTTTGATTTATTTTTATTACTGTGGAAAAAGAGATACACACAGCCCCTGAGATGAGACAGAGCTGTCAGTTTAAAGAGGCCATATTAAAAGCCCAAAGTTGCAAGTAGCTGTTCGAGTAATATTTGAGCATTAACAGATCAAATGGTGGTTTTGAATATCAGAAAGGAGGGTCATCAAAGTGCAAAACTAGTGAGACTTATGACTACGAGCCTGATAAGTTTCACACTCTGATATGGTATGACTCTGCTCAGAGTCCAAGGGTGTGTTTTGCTGATAAACCAGTGGTCACTTACTACTTCTGTTGAATCATAATCTTGTGAGAGCATGAACCTGTCTGCAGGAAGCCTAGACCAGAACAGTTAGTGAAGCTATTCAGACATTCTGTCAGACATTGGGCACCCAGAATTGAAGACTGCTCCAACTCAAACTCTAGAAAGGCTAATCATTACTGTGCCTTTCTTGCAATTAATGCACCCTGCTGTTTGAACTACAGAGGCCTATATTTTTGAAAAAATAAAAATGTCAAGAGAAATGTATAAACATTTTAAAGCAATGAATTAAATTAACATAATTCTTATAAAGAATCCATATATGCTGCTGAGAGGGAGGCTGTGCTGCTGTCCAGCCAATCTTAAGAATTGATATAAGCATTGATTATCTGTTCTTCACACTGGGTAATCTAGATAACAATGTCAGCGCAAAGAGAGGTATGCAAGAACATAAGGACACATAACAACAAGAAAAGGATGTCTAGTCCATCTAGGCTTGTCATACACAGTAAATAAAGGAATGATGTGTTACTGTGTGAGAAAAAAACTGAATGGTTTCTCATGTAAGTGAAAGGCAGTAAAATTAATAAAAAGAATGGTGCAGCTGTTGAAATAGAATGCTTTACAAAAGGATGTATATGATGGAATTGGATGATTGGGTCACTGAGATAGACCACAGTTTGAATGGTCTGTGCACTAATGTGACTGTTGTACAGGATAAGGTGGATGCTGCTGTAGTTTGGTGTGGCCACTGGGGTGAAGCGCTGGTTTGAAAGGTGTCAAGGTTGATGTCGGACCTGGGTGTGTGCAGAGGCAGATGAGTCGGGATGAGAGCTCAGGATTCCAGTGGGATAGAGCGAGAGGGAAATAGGTTAGTAGCACACATGAATCTCTCCACTGGTAGCAAACATCTGTTCCATTCCTTGGCAATGGAATACTTTCAGCTTCAGTGGAGCCCAGGCAAAAGACTATTTTGAGGGCAAACAAATTCTAGTATTCTAGTATGAACACATGAAAGTTGCTGAAAACAAATACAAGAACAATTGTGGTAGGAACAAGAATTTTTTTTTGTACAAATACATAAGGACTTTGCTTTGGTGATGTTGGTGTGAGGTTTCATTGAACCAGCAATGGGAGGAGCCACCATGTAGTATCTTCAGCAATAATCTTGACTGCAATGGTTGTGGATAGAATTTTTTTTTGATTGGTTCAAACAAGTCAATCATTCACAGCTGAGTGGAGCTCTGCCCTAATGGGGCTCATGAAACCTCAGTTCATCTGTCACTTCTTTGAGGAGCACATTTTAGCACAGGGTTGTCAGGTTCAGGGAAGTTGCTGGTTTTTTGTGGTTTTCTTTTAGCAGTTCATTTAGGCCTTTAAAAATATTTATGGACTCATTAGCTAATCAATGATTTAAATTAAGTATCTCAAGTGTTGAAACAGGAGACAGTATGGCCTTTTGGAGCAGGGGTGGCAAGCCCAGGACCTGGAAAGCTTCAATGTTCACTGTGTTTTGTTGTTAATCAGTGCATGAACAATCACTTAACTTCAAGTAACCGTTTGCAAGCTTCATTTTGAACATTTCTTACACATTGGCACACACTATGCAAATTCAGATCAGCTGGTTCTATGGTCTGAATTGGTCAATGACTTTAAGGTGGAAATAAACACTACCAAAGCTGGCCACCCCAGCTGTGCAGGCTGATGGCCCTGTTTTAGAGGGTTTAAGTGCTGAAGCTGTGTTATGACTCCAGACTCTCAGGGTCTGCGGTATCTTGCCCAGGCAGTGTATTTCACCCATGCGCAGGGAGGAATTTGACAGGGTGGAATTTCTGCAAAGGGGGGTGGGGTGGGGGGTGGTGGAGAAGGCCACAAGCAGAGATATCAGCTCTGCAGCACCTGCTGTTTTGCTGCCGTGGTGACCAGGGTCAGGGGTGGCACTCTGTGACTCAGGAGAAATAGTTCGCTCAAACTTTGGCTCAGCAGTTTTGTCAGTCCATGTCTAAAAAGGGAACTCCCCCTCCACCCCTCCACCCCTCCACCCCTCCACCCCCACCTCCAAGGGACTTAAATCACAACCCATCTGGATGTTTGGCAGACTAAACATTTTCAATATAATAGGATAGAATTAAGACTGAGAAAATAAATAACTTCAGAATATTGATTGCATACAATTATAAAGCATGGCATAGCTGCCAGGAATGTGTCAGGCTTCTCTCTGACCTAGCATTCATTTTAGAAACAGTCCTTATTAAGCTATAATAGTGCCGCCATGATAATTCTACCACAGTACCATTGGAATGAGGGAACACAGCTATATGAGTTTCACAATATTGGTCTTAAAATAGGGTGGATAGGCAGGTCCATAAAATACAAAATTTATTAAAATACTTGCTCTTGATGGGCATCCTTTTATGGTAATTCATTCCCATTGAACCTAGGGTGGCAATGTGGTATAATGGTCAGGAAGCTGGTCTTATAACTCAGATATTGTTGGTTCAACTCCGTATCGACATTGCCAGTATACCCTTGAGCTTGATACTTCACCTTAATTGCTTCAGTAAGCTATACAGCTGAACCAATGTGTAGTGTAAAAATGTAAGTTGCTTAGCATGAGGCATCTGATAACTTCCTTTTATAAGCCCTCCATGAATCATGTCCCTGTATGGTGTATCACTCAAAACTAGAGAAACAGTATGAATCATTACTGTTATTGTCATATCAGTTCATAAATGTATGAAACTTAGAAACAAAATAACGAATCAAGTATCCAGCGCTGCTTATAAGATATCAGAGCCAAAAATGAACAATGCTCATGCCCGAGTAACATAACACTGCAGATGTGATTATTGTTATGATAGGACCTGTAAAAGTGCTGCATGAAGCCTCTATAAACACCAACCATACCATATGTATGGCATTGTGTCAGCATTTTAAAAAATGGATATGTTCGCAAACAACTTGAGTGATTTTTACTTTGATTTGTTGTGTCATGGCAAAGTAACTTAATATAACATATGATAGCCTGTGTCAGTTGGCACAGGTATTTATGCATGTTTATGTAATGCTTATAAAGGCCTTATGGAACTCCACCAGGAGACTTTTCATTACATTTTTCACCAATGCCCAGACAACCTCTCAAAAACAGTTTGACTGCCGAGAGCAGACTGAAATAACAGAAGAGGTAGTTAATCGGTCTCAAGTTGTTTATAGCTGAGGTGCAGAAACGTAATGTTGGCATCCATCATGCGTCTCTGTTCTGCAGCTAATCCCTCCTAGGAACTTGAAATCAACACAAGGCTAATCTGTAAACATGAAACAGCAGGCATGCAGCCCAATAGATTAATATCTTATTGAGAGTGAAAAACAGACCAGGGCACTGTGGAAAGTTCTAGTGTGTGGCTACCAGAGACAAAGACAACAAAGCATTCATTGAACTAAGGGTACTTCACAAGGCAGGTAGCCAGTGATTTTTTTTTTTTTTTATGAAAGCTAATGCAATCTAATGCTTAACGTCCTTTGTGAATTTGATGACACCTTCTTTGACAATTGTATGTTGAACCCAGGGAAAAAGGTTTTTTAACAACATACTAACAGCCTTTTTCTGAGCATGACTGCAAAACCACCTCAGTTAAGCCTCCTGTTTTGTATTGTTTGTATATGAATCAGATTCAGTTAGGTCAGGAGTGGCCAGTTCTGTTCATGGAGAGCTATGGGGTGAGCCTGATTTTGTTTTAACCTAAAAAATAACAACCAGTTCAGAAACCAGGTGAAGTAAGTCAACTGTGTAATCAGGTGTGCTAATTGATGAAATAAGTGCTAAGTGACAACAAAACTGGTACAACCTGTTAAATGTCTGTTTTGATAACAAGCTGTATTGTGATCAAAATACTTCACAGTGTCACCATCATGCATAGCTGATGGACATTCATGTTCATGTCATAGAGATTTGTTAAATGGTCATTGAAGAAAGAGAAGTAATAGACTAGTAATGGTTTTGGCTGAAGAATAATCACAGATATTACAATGGCAATTTTCTCATTGCATTGGGAACAAAAGGAACATGGAATATGATGCCAGCAAAATTTAATATATAATTAGCAGTTAGGATGCATGTGCAAAAGGAACCTAAGCATGAACATGCTATAGCAATGCTTTGCATTGAATCAGCCATGCTCTCTTATCTTTGCTTCAAGCTCCTGTATTGATGTTCCCATGGCAACCCTATTACGTGTGTATCAGGCCTCTTTCATCACTGCCACTAGTGTCAATCTTTTATTTTGATAATGTGTAAAAACAACATTCCGAATAAGATGGTTCAGGTCTGAAAGACAATATAGTTATGTATCAATCAACATTTGTCCTTGACTTTCCCTTACAAGTAAATGTAGTTGTGCTGTAGTTATTACAAATAATGTAGGTATTTTCTTAATATGGTGAGGTGCAAAGGAAAAGACAGGTGATTACTGAAATAAAAAAAAAACTCTCCTTCGGCCCTGTGTGGTCACAGAGGGTCACTTCCACAAACTTGAAGGTGACCTCATTGAACCTACGTAACATTGCACCTGAACCCTTCATTTCCTTGCCTGACCTTTGACCTCTGAGCGTCAGAGTTATGGGTTATCTCAGCTGAGATGTTGTTGACTTTCTTTTTTTTGGTAGTCTAAACTCAGATTGCTAAAACTGAAGCACAGGTTAAGTTAACACTCTTGTGTGTAAAGTACCTGATCGTTCCACAACTACCCAAAACCATATACAGAAGGCCTATTCAATTGCCTGGGCCAAATATGACACAAGACCAAAAATTGTCATCGCTTGAAAAAAAAGATTGTTAGGCCCATTTACAGTCACTTTTTTGTAAAATGGTAGCATAGCTGAATTTGTTATTTAATAGCCTTGCCATAGAGAACAACAAACGAATGCCACCTCTGTCAGGCTTGATGTGAAACTCTCAGCCAGCGTTGTCTGAGTAACAGAGAACAAGTGTCTGGTGTGCGAATAACTCATAACAGCTGTTACTTCAGCCAGGGTGATCTTTTGTGTAACCATAACTACAAGGGGTCGATTGGGAGTTTGTGGGGCCAGGTCAGTTTAAAACAAGGTCTCATCCCTGTCTTAGGGCCTCTGAGTAAAATTATGATTATGATGAGTAGAGACTATGTTTGTTTATTTGCAACATCCATCATTACCAGGAAGCCGACAACTACGGTAAACAGTTTGCTTTGGACAAAGGTGCCAAGAGTTTCTCAGTTCATACCTGTCAAACGTGCATCCGGTTATAATAACAGAACTGTCCCGTTACTTGGCAGCGGATCGTAACACAGCACGAGAGTAAGATGGGGAATATGAACAGTGACATGAAAAGCAGTGGAAAATGCCTGACTTTAAAAGGGTACAGAACATCACGGCCTCTCTCCGCTGTCCACATCAGAAGGGAAAAACAGTACCTCCTGTCCACAGACAGATTAAAACCAGACCCCGCAGGATCCTTTTAATACCTCTACTCGGTTTTTAGAGCCAGCATCTCTGGCTCTTTAGCAGTGACATCTATATTGTGATGAAACATGGCTGAGCAACAATGCAGCCCAGCATTTCTGCCCCTGACTCAGTAATTCAGTTCACAGGTTTCTTTCATGGATCCTGAAGAGGAAAAAAAACAAATAAAGGGTGACTAATACTTCATGACTAAATCGCCTGCGTTGCAATCTTCCCAATTACTTTCCCTAGCTTTGGTGGGGGAAACGGCGAAAAGCATGATAACTGCATAAATGAATGCGACCTGCTGGCAATGTGCCCGCTGAAAAGGTGGCACACGTGTGGGAGCCAAACAGGGTCTGTACTTCTGCATTCAGCCTTTCACTTGAGGCTGTCAGTTTGAGATTCTGATTTGGGGGACAGAATCTTCTGTCTTGTCACACCACAGCATTGACCAACATGGATGAAGACAGGCAACATTCAGAGGGATCATGACTTTACTTGTTTTTTGTATCTTTTCTCTTTCTTCCCAACTGAACTGTGAAAATTGCCCATGCCCCCCCCCCACCCCTACCACCCTCCGTGATCCTCCCCCACAGCTGATTCCTCTGATTCACTATGAGACTAGTGATTTCACAGTTTTTCACACTTTTACATTTGATCTTAGATTTTTAAAAATTACATACATTACAGGTTAAATTTATGGAACTGTAGGCTGACCCAATATTTCACACCAGTTAGGCTGAGCAAAACTGCCCTGCCAATGTGGACCTCCAGTTGGACTTGATGCATGGACAAATTTTCCCATTCCAGACTTCAACCACTATAAAATTAATGTCAGATTTGTCCCTTTCTCCAATGTCCCCAATGTTCCAAAAAAATATTTTGGAACCAGTAGAACCATCCACACTTGAACAGAAAAATTGGAACTGCGAGAGGAAAGAGACTTTTATCGCATAAATCTTTCTGTCAAGATTTCATTGCTCAGCAGGTTTGGTCTTAATTATTTTGTTTTTAGATTTAAGCCCTGAAATTCTTTAATGATCAAAATAAGTAAGATCTCTAAGTTTCTTAACTGCTTTCCTACACTGTCCACTAAGCAGCTGCTTGAAACAAGCTGCCATTGTTTTATACCCAGCTTGTCTTGTAATTGTCTCTTATGAGTTCATTTTTCCACTTTTGATTTTAATGGATACACATAATGTAAATGTGTTCTCTAATGAAAATAGCTGACATTTTTTTCTTAAATACTAAGCTTGGGGCCTCTTTTGTTCCAAAGTATGAAAACAAAATAGTTAAGGTTGTGATACACTTATTTTAATCAATGAACTGCGCTTAACATGTGTCATGAAAATATTTACTTACTGGCTTGATTATGATTGTGAAGCATTACTTCTGTTAAGAAAGCTCCTTATTTCCAAAAGTCCTTGCTTATTTCTGTTTACATGCACTACTAAGCTTTGTTTTCCATTTAGTACAAATGACTTGGCTCCAGCACAGGAGAGTGCTGGTGAAAGGAGAAGTCACAGTGTGTCCATAGGGCTCTGTTCACCCCTCGCCCCCACCCCACCCCCACTCCGGGCCAGCGCTGACACACTTGCTGGACGTCCCTGGACGCAGTGCTTTCTGTGAGGGCCAGAGAGCGCTGCCACGGGATTAGGGCACTGAGAGGAAACAGCTGAGGCCTGTGTAATGTCAGCACTGCCAGATCAGCGGGGCCTACACACCTCATTAAAGCCGCCCCTCTTTATTCTGGCCCCAGAGGTCAGGCCTCTACAAAGGCCCCGGGGCCCGTTAGTGTCAAACGGAGAGGGATGTGTGTATGTGGTGTGTGGGGGGGGGGGGGGGGAGGACAAAGGCTGGGTTGAAGCTGCATGATGTGCCGAGTCATCATCCTCCACGAAATTCCTGAAAGGTTGTGCTTTTTTATTCCCTATCCCACCATGAGCGTTACTCAAAAATTATTTATTCTGTTGTATGAAAGAAAGAAAGGCTATGAGAGCTATAAAAGGGACAATAATATCTGGTGAGATGTAATACTGTCCA